TGCGCTTTGACGAAATCAGTAAGGTATTGTGGTTCATTTATGGCAAGCACTTTGCATGTAATGAGTGCGACCTTATTTTGTATTTGATCGGCAACCAGAAGCCAATGCAGCTCAGCGAGCATTTGACGGACATGATCGGATTTTTTGCAGTACCCGTTACGACACGTGCCAAATAATGTTGTACACACCGCAGTTTGCTCATGTGTGTGTTTTCCAGACGTCCCGTAGAGTAGCGAGTTGCAATAATCGAGCCTAGTGAAATAGGAACCGAATTCAGTTCCTGAAAAAAATCTCTCAGCACGTGGAGAAAAACTTCGGACATCTTGCCGAGCAACGCCCGGTACGATCTGAAAGCACCATTTGGAGAGCCTTACAGCAGTACTGCGAAATACCCACGCAGGGTATGAACGTGTAATTTATGTGAGAGCACTTTGCTTACCATGAGACCCCCCCTTCCCCCTATTGTAATGGCACCGTTTTGTTTAATACACACAATTGCCTGTGTGAGAAATGCGCCCTTGCTCAAACATTTTAGCGATGGAGCTGCAAGAGGCAGTTTGTCAGTGCGAGTTGAAGCGAGAGCTCCCTGTGGTGAAATCCCCCGCCTCCCGCGGAGAGGGGATTTGGGACTCGATTGCAAAGCAGCATCAGCAGCCACCGCGAAAAGAACCCCCAATTCACGTGTCAAGCGACGTGGCTTAGCGGATCGATTTGGCCTTGCTGGAGATCTTAGTCCACCAGGTAAGAACTGCAGTGATTGCAGTTCTTCAAGGACTGTTACATGTGTTTTTTTTGCATAATGTACAAAGGCTGAGTGCTTTTTTTTGCACGCGTTTTCTTGTGTGTTCGTTTGAACCGTGAGGCCAGAAATATTTTAATCTCGGAGAGAAAATCACGATTTTTTTTACAAAAGCTTTTGCGGGTTGGAGGTATATGTCACCAAGGGGCAGCTTTGCTGCCCCTTGGTGACATATAAATACGGAAAGTATTTACTTTATTATTGTTGTCTATACGAATATTTAAAAAGTGACCTTTGGTAAGTCTGTCTTCAGAAACCATATCTATCAATCGCACGTACTCAATTCATTGCTGGATGGGCGCCGCGGTGGCGAGATGTTAACTACCTCGCGTGTTTTACAGGAGGTTGTGGGGTCGATCTCGACCTTGACCCCTGTTGTACATTTGGAGTTCGCATGTCCCTCTCCCCATGGTCGCGTGGATTTTTCTCCGGGTACGTCGGGTTTCCCCTCCACATTTAGAATCATGCGTTTCGAGTGTTTGGCTGCTGTAAATTTACACACGATAAGCCACTTCGTGGAGCGATCATTTGTGGATAGGCCGCTTCTAAAAAAGAGCCATATAGCTCAGTGGGCTTTACCTGGTAAACAAAAAAATAGTTTGTCGCTGCCCACCACGGGGACCCCACAGCAGCCTATAACACCTGTTTCTGCCTACAGCGCCTGCTCTCTGTGCGTGGCTGTCACCCATCAAAAACAACTATCCAAGCCTGCTGAGCTTCTAACATCTGGCGGACTCCAGGTGAGTTGGGCAGCTTATGATTAATTCGTATTTATCCATTTAAGAAAAGAGAAAAAAACCCATCATATTCTCAGACCCAGCAGTGCTTAAGAGCCTCTGGGTCACGCCGACCCACGTCACGTTTAATACCTTATACGAATCTGTGTACACCCTAAGGAGCTCACAGACCAAAATCTCGCGGTAACATCTCCCTCACCTGGTAGGCAGGAGGGCGTGGGGTCGCTTGCGACCCTGACGATGCCTGTTGTGTTGTTGGAAGTCCGCGTGATCTTTCTTCCCCGTGGTGGTCGCGTACATTTTTCTTCTTATGGCTTTGTCCCCCCCACCCCTTCACATTTAAAATCAACGCGCGTTTAGATTATTTGACTGCTTCTATAAATTCCCACATGTGATGATGATGATGACGATGAGGTTATCAGCCACTGCCATGAGCTATAATGCGTGGCCAGGTGGCCCCTGAACAAGAGCTAAGAGCGCAATGGACTTTACCTGGTACATATTCGTGTTTAGTTCACAAAATCTAAATAAAGACAGCAAATTGCAGCAGCAAGCCAATGGGTCAGAGTGGAAGGCGGTGCCACCCTGTTGTGACAGAGACTTCAATCCATTTAACGGCACTACTTTTATGGCTTTTAAGAGTAGATAATGTGCTAACTCATTTGCCTGAACATGGTATCATCATACAAGTCACTTTTAGTGGTCATTTAAATTAATACGTAAGCTGTCACAGTTTATTCTGTGTGTGCGTATGGTGCCTTGAGTGTGTGTGTTTCCGGGGAGAGGTAGCGTAGCGGTTAGCGCGCTGATAACAGCACTTGCCCCAACAGCCTATTAAGGCTATACGGGGATCTTTGTCTTTGTTTGCAAGGCACAATCCGAACCTGGGAAAATATTTTCTCACCTGGCACACCACGTCCAGTATATCTGTTGTTGCCGTGGCTGTGGGTAATTTTCATGTGCTTCTGCCAGTCTAGTAGCGATCCATACCAAAAAATACACAACTCAGTTAGATATACATGCCCAGTCGGGTGTGTAATGTGTGTGGTGCATGTATGTATGCACAGTATGCCTTTAAACAACTATTTCATGTGTGCTTGTGTATTTGTCACACTGTTTGATTAAACAACGTTACATCACGTGTGCATGCCTACGTGCGTTGGTGTGAGTGTGTGTATATATGTGTCTATGTATATGTGTGTGTACCGCATGGGGAGCGGTAGTGTAGCGGTCAGCGCGCTGCGTTATGAACGTGGCGACCCAAGTTCGATTCCCGTTCACGGCCAACACCAGTGACGATCATCTGAACCGGTCCTGTGCCTCCCCTAGGTCGACTCAACATCAAATGAGTACCTGGTGCGGTGTGTAAACATTGCCACTAAGGAGACAAAGTCGGCCGGTCGTGGTGCTGGCCACCCATCTCCTCGTGTGCCGTGCGGGCCTTCATAGGTGCTTGCTAACAGCACTTGCCCCAACAGTCTGTTAAGGCTACACAGGGGATCTTTGTTGTGCCGCATGTGTCCGTCTTTAAACACTCAGGCACCTCGCATTAGCGCGGCCCTTTTAATCGTGTGGCGTTAATGCACGGACAGATAATTCAGGTCAGCCTCTCTGCATCCAGCTCACATGACCCCGCACTTTAATTGGCTTAATTATAATGATTAATATAATTAAACCTGCCTCGCCATTTCATCGTGAAAACCCTCCCAATACCACACAACGCAAACTCAAGCACTCCCTCACACGCATTGTCACCGACAAATAACCGAGACAAGGCTGCGGATCGCACGAATAAGAGAAAATGCCTCCAATGTTTAACAATGTTATTAGTATGGTTGATTGGTAGGTTATGAGCTCGTGTAACATTTTTGCTTAAATCACAACAACAATTAGATTCACACAGAGTTATTATTATTAAATTAGCAGGCGAGCTGCGTGTGCACAGTGTGTAGGCCACGTAGGGGTAGTTGCTTGCCACCCCCAAAGATTTAAGAGCAATGATGGGGGAGGAGGGGTATGATGGTGCCAGAGTAAATTTCAAGGAGGTGGGGACTTCTAGAGATAGTTGTGGGGGGGGGGGGTAATGATGGCGTTACGATCCTGACAAGTTGATCTTGTGCTGGAGTGAAATGTCCCCGTTGGACTGAGCTGCAGAATTTCACAATGCCATTATTTTTTTACCACCAGGTAAGGCCCACTACTGATCTATATAGCTCTTTCTCGGAAGCGACCTGGTCACGAATGATAGCTCAGCGACGTGGCTTATCATGTGGAAACTTATAGCAGTCAATGACTCTAAACGCATGTTTCTAAATGTGGAGAGAAAAAAAAAACAGAAGACCTGGAGAAAAATCCACGCGACCACGGGGAGAACACGCAAACTCCAAATATACAGCAGGCGTCAGGGTCGAGATCGAACCCACGACCTCCTGCATACCAGGCGAGGTAGTTAACATGTCGCCACTCGGGCCGTAGAGATACTGCCACAGTGGTGTAATGATTATCTCACACTGGACTACACCCAGCGTTGTTATTATTTTTGCAGGCAAGCTGCTTTTTGCACCGTGCCGCCTCTGTCCACCCGGCAGTTATAAATGGGTGCACCGCAGTTAATCGATCGGCAGGTGTCGCGTGTGGTGGGGTAGAGTGTGGCTACTCCCACCAGCGTGGAAGTGGAGCCGACTCGCCCAAACTCCCTCTGGAGCGGAGGCCCTGCCGTCAGCAGTGGGTGGCGTAAAGTGACCAATCGCAGGGCTGCACTGTTATCTTTAATAAATGTGTTAGTCAATCAACGTATCGGTTATTCAGGCCAATATTGTCTAGCAGCAATGCAAACTCTGGACCGGTTTCGACATTCCGGCTCTCGTCAGCAGTCAGGCTTATTAAACAACTACTGTTGGATTACCAGATGTTATTGGCAAGATAATTCCATTTAAAATAAGAGGCCTCTCTGTTTAACGCATAAAATACAGTACATTTGCCTTTATAGCCATGGGCCATTGCAAAAATTGGTAGCACCTAAGGTAGTAACGCTTCAGTCGTACAGATGTATTCATACGGCCCATGAGAATACATTATTTGACCACCCCACCAAATTTCAAATGGTCATCACGTAACTTACTGTTACTGGCCGTGTAAAGAAAATCGGAAGCGTTTAGCTAATGCCACCTCTCAGGTGGTACCAACAAGTGAACTACATATTCCTGTGGGCTCGCTGACTCTTGCCTACGATGGTCGATTGCAACGCGTTGGTGAGCGGTGTGCCGAGTTGAGTGGTTAGGCTGCCGACCTTTGAGCCCCCGTGCCTTCGTACCGATTCGTGAATAAAACCAATTCTAACGTTGTACAACGTGTCGTGGTTAGCTATGAAAATCGACACGCGGTGAAAGGGGTTAAACCATAAAAAAGTAGGCAGCTTCACGCTTAAGCCAGTAGGGTTGGCAAGTACGCACAGGGGATGTAGGGACATTAAAACAAAAATCTCATTTAATCACGAATATATATGGCCTTCTGGGGTTTCAGTAGTGGAACAGTGCATGCAGTGGTTAGCGTACATCACGTTTTGAACCCAGCTAACATCAGTGGCGAAGTGACATCTGAACGGTTATTGGCAAACCCCTGACCCTTCACCAACCCATGCTGACCAGCGTGGTGAAGTATGGTTACATTTTTTCGATGACCAGCACGGTGTTGGAAGGTCGGAATTCAGTGGTGGGATGAATAACAGCAGACCATTTTTTACCGTACTGTTATAAAAAAATGACGATGATTTTTTTTTAAACCAAGAAAGTCTCACCGAGAATCTTTTTCAGGAGGAGCGTCCTCCATTGGGAAGTTGGCCATGTCCATTCGTGTTTAGCTTCCTGTTGTAGGGAACTAGGGTACCCGGAAAAATTCAGGTGGGTAACGCACCGAAGCTCCGCATTGATTGATTCAAGAACCTATTTCTGCACTGCTATTTCCTGGTTGACTCGCAGCACACACACACACACACCTACACCAGCTGGCATTCTCAAGCAGCCTCCCGTCCGTGTACACAGCAGGCTCCGCCCTGCTTAGCTTCACAAAATCCGACGCGACGGGGCGCGTTGGTGGCGATTACAACGGCAGCTCCATGCTGTGAGCATGCCGCCTGGATGTTTATATGCTCTATTAGTGCGGAGAGAGCGGTTTCGGTCAGTGGGACGTATTGGCATGCCCCCCCCCCCCCCCCACGGCCTCGATCGATAGCCCCCTCACCCCCATTCACGGGGGAGCATCGCGGTCGAACGCTCCCTCCGCTGACGATCAATTCGCCCGCACGATTCATATCGGCTCATTTACATCACACACCTCGCGTCCGCGAACACGGATTGTCGTGTCCGTCAATCAACACCGATCAACGCCTCCTGATGCGGTTTGCGATGGCGAGGGTGGTGCGCTCCAGGGCCTGGTCCTTTAGGGAATGGAGCAAGAGCGAAGTAAATAAATAAGTAAATACATCCATCTGTGCATCCTCACGTCCGCTGTGCCGAAATGTTGCGCGCTCGTTTTCCACCTCGGCTGTCGCTTCATGTCGCAAAGGTCTTCAACGCAGGTCCCGTGGATCACAAGGGGATATGATTCAGAGGACAGTTGCCATCAGGGGGTCCCCTAGGTTAAAACCCCCAAAAAGTATGGCCACAATATAAACGCACGTTCCTGTTGTTCCTGTTGTTGTAGGAATGCTGTGAAAAAGTAAGACAATGCAATTGGAAATGGGGGGTTAATTCTGAGTATTTTTTTTTAAATGAAACAAGCATTTGGGAAAAAATGCCACGCACAAATTAAACTGTCACCATCCTCAAAGGAGTGTCACGCGTTCATGAGTTTCATGAGTTTTGAACGTTGTGGAATTATCCCAGAGTCAGTGATGACAATTCCACATTTCGGCGGTGGGGAGCAGTCTATACATCAAGCAACCACGATGATTTATCTTACAAACATTAGTTGATAATTCACATGTATTCACATTTGTCATGGCATCAATAAAAAAAACCCCATTAAACATTCCCGTTGGGCTGATTTACACATGCAGGAATTCGTGATGCATCAGCTTTGCTGGACTCCTATCTCCAAAAGGATTATTCACGTTCAGTCATATTCATGACAGCAGGTTTAATAGAGCAGTCACATTCGGCAAACTGATAAGACCCGTGGATGTCCACACAGTAAATGCGCATATCCACCCACTGCCAAGACCTTAAAGCTCCATATTTCCTGAAGAAGGCCGGTCACCAGATGTGTCCAGGTGTTCGTGTCCTCTGCGTCTAAAAACAATCATCGCTTCATCTCCTCTGTGGACGTCCTCTCGGGTGCATTCTCTCCCTTGGCTACCACTCCATCTTTGGTCTTGACCAGCAGCCATCACCCCTATCTCTAACGATGTCTCATGACCGAGCCCACTTGCTTTTCTTAAGTCAAAATTGTGTCTTTCATGTATGTTTAATGACATGGAATGGATCACTATGGCGGGTAGCGCAGGTTGCTGGCAAAAAGAGGACCTGCTGCTGTAGCAGCCCTGTCGGCCAGCAGGTCAGGGGATAGGCGAAAGGAAAGGATGCGGGGACAAGGTGACAGAGGGGGTAGGTGAGAAAAAGCCCGAGAACCTTCTGGTAGGTCCTGGAAGGGGGGCGTGGCCGAGGGGAAATTAATGGGGGACCCCGTGGAGGACTCCCAGTGCCTGAGAGGGCCTTAATCAACAGAGTGCCTCCCATTCTAGTGTCTGTGAAGTGCATCACTACATATGTATGTATAACTTCTTTCGCAACGTACCTAGCCAACCGTACTAATACAACTCCGTATATTGTCGAATGCACGTATCCCCTCCATGCTTCCCTGAACACTTTCCAGCTTTTGTTCCATACTCTTGAAAGCGGAGGCGTTCGATGATCCTGCTGCATCAGTCGGGACACCCAAGACCACTGAAACACAATTACACATCCCAATGTCTGGGCCAAGTCCGTCCCAAGAGCAACCTTCAGGGGTAAGAGAGAATGCTCAGAGGATACCGCTGAGATCCTAGGGTTTGAATCCGGGTTTCAGCTCTCCGTGATTAAAATGGGTTCACGAGTGTAGTGAGATGGTGGTCTAAAGGCTGGTCACCAATGACTTCACAAACACATCACGCTATGTTTGATTTTGTTTTACTTAATTTGGCTCAACGCTCAGCTCTGACAATTCAATAATGCCAGTTTGATTGCCACTTGACTGACGTTGCTGTGGTAGCAGAGATTGTTAAAAAAAAGGTCACTTGTGAGGATTTCCAGAGGCAGTTCTACAATGTCTCATTCCACGGTGCCATTCCCGAACACACGCACTGAGCGTTCGATCCGTCTAACATCATAGCACTGACAGCGCCATTGTGAGACCAGTGAGCAAATGACCAAAGAAGATACGAACAACACAGTTACAACCCGAGCTGAAGAAGAACAAAAACCCTCATCGCAATTTGTTCATTCTGCCCGCGTTCATTCGTCCGTCGCAACCACCTTCACGATGGCGCGGTGGCAGCTGAGACACGGTGGGGGTGGGAAGTGGAGGGGGATAGGGTGGTGGTGGGGATATCAGTGGAGCTGAGTGGTGGCGGGGGGGGTCTATAGGCAGGTGAGTGACAGCGTTCCCCCGGACGTGTGGTCGTTGCGGTAGTGCACGGAGCGCGCCGTCACGGACACGCGCGGAACGCCTCCGACCCCTCCGATGACTCCTCCGCCGCCGCCACCGCCTCCTCCTCCTCCTCCGCCGCCGACCGCGCGGCCCTCACAGCGCAGCAGCTGGCGGTAGGCCTCGCGGAAGTTCTGCGACAGGAAGCCGTAGATGAAGGGGTTGACGCACGAGTTGCCGTACGAGAGGCAGTGGGCCACGATGCGGAACGCGAAGGAGGCGTTCGTGAGCGGGAAGGAGCCGAATTCGACCCACAGGAGGATGACGTGGTGCGGCAGCCACGACACCAGAAACACCACGACCAGCACGAGCACCGTCTTCGCCGTCTGTGACGGAGATGCGGTGGGGAGGGGGGGGGTATCGGAGTGGGGGGTAGGTCAGGATGTAGGGGTGGGGAACGTCCGGCCCGCGGGCCGTATAACGCCCGCGAAATCATTTGGTGTGGCCCTGCCAAGGCAACCGCGGGCGGGACTCGAAATTAAATAAATCTAGGAGCAAACCTGGAAAAGCAGTTGCGAGTAGCAACATCATCAATACCAGCTAACATCATCAATACCAGCTAACATCATCAATACCAGCTAACATCATCAATACCAGCTAACATCATCAATACCAGCTAACATCATCAATACCAGCTAGCATCATCAATACCAGCTAACATCGTCAATACCAGCTAACATCATCAATACCAGCTAACATCATCAATACCAGCTAACATCATCAATACCAGCTAACATCATCACACGCCTCACCAAAGAGAAGCGGTTCCAGCCATCACATTAGGGGTGAGTTAATTAAATGTTTGACCAAATATAACAGGCTAATTTTTAAGTTGAAAATTTTGTATGGCCCGCGAATGATGTTATAAATATCCAAATGGCCCTTGGCAGAAAAAAGGTTCCCCACCTCTGGGAGAAAGGAATTCAATGTTTAGGAGTTGCATTTAGCGGGCGCTTAAATAATCGCATAGCAACTCAGAGCACCTTACATCTCAAGACGTTCGAATGTCCTACCGCGGTTAAACCAAGTGACAGTTGTTCCAGTGCAGCACAAGGCGTGCACAACTAACTATGGGTCTCTGCGTAAGTCTGCGAACCATGTGAGTCTATGAGTTCATAGGTCTCTCTGTAAGGATCAAATGATTTGAGTTTGCGGTGGTGTTTAAACGTCTCGGCAAGTCAAAGCGCCTATTGTCAAATGTCAGTTCAGCCATTCCAATACCGTTGCTGCAGTCTAGCCAAGGGGGCCCCCAGTGGTAGCTGTCCCTTTGTTGCACAATGTGAACGGCTTGCAAATGGGCATGAGTCTGCCAGCGGGGTGAAGACATTGCGAAGTGGTTGTTTCCAAGCAGACCGTGCATATTTCTGGTTAAGAGACTGGCCGATGTTATCCAGGGCAGCCACCGGGATAGAACCTGCGAATCTTTACGACGAGCGGCGAACGCGGCCGCCTCCGCTCGGTCACACGACGGCCGCCACAACATCCCCACCACCAAGGCAGGCACTGAGTTAGAGGGTAAGGGAGGTGGTTGGATGGGTCACGTGGCTGGCAGGCTGATAGCTGGGCACGAGGGTGGAAATTCGATTCCAAAATCGATGGATTTTCACCTTGACCTGTACCGGCTCGTTTGCGTTGTTCGTCATAACAGATGACGGCGTGTGGTGGCATCGTCAAGGGGCCTTGAGTCCGGTGTTAATTTACGCCGGGGTTTGCTCACCGAGATGGGCCGGCCCCTTTTGTTTGTGCCTGGTTCTCGACAGGTCAAATGCCTAAACTGCAAAATAAAGCGACGGTCATATTTCGTTGTTATTGGATCGCCTCCGCGAGCGTTATCGTGACCCGCCTCCTACTCCACCCTCTCCCACCCCCGTCACAGACGGGCAGAGAGAGCGAATGCATTACCGCTTTCAACCTTAGGTGGAAAGGGTTAAAAAAAAAGAGGGTTCATGTATGCATGTTGAACTTCTTTGCACCGTACGTAGCCAACCGTGCTGATCGGAGGTGCGGTCCAGCACTGGCTCAGTGGTTGGCGCATTGACCTATGAACTCGACGACCTGAGGTTTCATTCCTGGCCGTGGCTAACATCGGTGGTGCGTGCTTTCTAAACCGGTCCTGGGCTCTTCCCTTCAACTACCGGCACTGACCAATCATGGTCAAGTATGGTCAAACAAACCCCCACGACTTACAAAGGGCTGTGAATGGTCAGAAATAAAATAAAAAGTGTCAAAAGGGCAATGGAAAGAAATGTCAAATTATTTGGTATGTGGGAAAATCTGAATCTTTATGCATCCTGGAGAAATCCGATGAGATATGAAACTTTTTGTACGTATGTATGTTAAACTTCTTTCTTACCACATGTAGCCAACCGTGGTAATCGGAGATGCACACAGATGTCCAGCATGTCCACCTTGTGCTGACAAAGACTGCCATGAGACATGTTCCGTGGTGAGCTGCCAAAAGTCAAAATTCAAAGTGGTTTCCCACTAACACGAGTGTTTGGGGACTGCAATTATCGTGTTTACAGCTCTGTGCCTGCCTTGGAAATTGCTACCGAACGCAGATCAATGGGTCTTTATGAGCATGTGTAACGGAAATGAGTTTCCACGCGTAAAAGGTAACCGCGGAACTTCTGACTAATTCTCGGTGTACATCGCAGCTAGGTGGCTCAGCCACTTCAATGGAAACACAGACTATGATGTTGAGTCGCAGATTATACGACCATCGTCACATCATGTAAATGTATTTTCATTGCGCCGGTCATGGGAGCAATGGCAAGCGCTTGTAACACAGTCCTTTGGAGGCAGGGTTGATGGCTCAAGCAGAGATCAATACGACACAATTATTTTATTTAAGGCCAAGTAATAGCCCAATAAGTGGTGGTTGCGCAGAGGTGTTAGCATGCCACCTTATGAACTCCGTGAGCAGAGTTAAATCTCTTGTCGTGGCTCACATCACAATGGCGGTGCGATAACTGAAGCGGTCCTGGATCTCTCTTTAGACGTTTTGCGAGCCCTCCACTGTCCAGCTCGGTGAAGTATGGTCAAACAATGCCCGCCTAGCAGTAGGCGATAACAGGGCCGTACACGTACATTGTAAGTCTGAGACATCAAATGTTTTTGCCGGGCTAAACATAAATAAATATGGACAGCACGTGACAATACAGCAGCAAGTCACTTCAGCTGAGGTTAACCATGGATACAGGGAGAGCCAAGGGTGTGTTCCTCGACATGGATTGTCTTGGAGTGGCAGCAGCCGCAGCAGCTGCTGCTCCAGTGTGGAGGACTCCATTGTGACTCGCTCACCAGCGGCGATGCACCTCATTGCTACCCTTCTGTCGCTGTTACCATGGTTACCACTCCATTGAACTTCACCCACCGATCCCTCCATCCATGCAGAGGACGACTCGGTGTACCAAACTGACTGTTTCGTCTCATCCACACTGTGTTCAAAAACCACACTGCACTTACTCACCCACCAAATCACTCATTCATCCACATACCCAATCACTCATACACCCACGCAATCACTCACCCACCAACCTACCAACTCACTCACTCACCCACTCACTCACTCACCCACTCATTCATAGACCCACTCACTAACCCACCCACCCAATCACTCACCAACCCACCCTATTACCCAATCACTCACTCACCCACCTACCTACCCAATCACTCATTCACCCACCCACCCAATAATTCACTCACCCACCCACCCACACTCATTCATCGACCCACTCACTCACCCACTCATTCACCACACTGCAGGTCAAAACACTTCTCTCTCTGCTCCTTCCCTCACACAGCTCCACTTCAGACTCTCCCGCTGTCGTCTCTGCTGTTGGCGAAGCTCTTACAACAATAACCTTGCTCGATTCAGGAAACGTATTAACTCTTATCTGTGTGCATGTGTGTGGAGTGTTCATATGGACGCCGCGGTGGCGAGATGTTGACTGCCTCGTTCTGGTATACAGGTGGTCGTGGGTTCGATCCCGACCCCGACTCCTGCGTATTTGGAGTTTGCATGTCCTCCCCGTGGTCGCGTGGATTTTTCTCTGGCTCCTCCGGTTTTTCCCCTCCACAGTTATAAACATGCTTTGAGAGTATTGGGCTGCAATGAATGTCCACACGATAAGCCACTTTTTTGAGCAATCATCTGTGGCCAGGTCGCTTCTGAAAGGGCCACAAAGCTCAGTGTGGGCCTTACCTGGTAAAATAAAAAAAGAACAGTTTAGCTGTAATCTTGATTTGAAGCTTTCGTGACTGCAGGGATCCATATTCTTTGGTTCTTTCGGTAAAGTCACGTAGGTATAAAATAAAATAAATTAAATCACGACGTTTCGGGCGCAACACCAGCGTCCGTCATCAGGTGGGACAACCACAGCAAGAAACAATTGCTGAATTTCTGAATTGTTTCTTGGTGTGGTTGTCCCACCTAATGACGGACGCTTGTGCTGCGCCCGAAACGTCGTGATCTAATTTATTTTATACCTACGTGACTTTACCGAAAGAGCCAAAGAGTATATAGTTTCGTTTTAGTTTTACAGCGTTTGTGGCTGGCCGTTTGGCGTTTGTTTGTTTGGGCCCTGTGCTCAGCGAGCGTGATAAAATAATCACGAGACTGGGGCCCCGAGTGCTTCTCTCCGTGTCGCTCGCAACCAGGGGACGATTTCAGTGTCACCACAAACTCACCGTGGCAACCGGTCAACGTGACAACGCAAACGGCGAGCGCCCACCCGAAATTCCAAATGACCATTTTGCGTTTGTTGACGAGGCAGGATTGCGGCTCGAGTTACATTAAGATTTCCGCTCCAGGTATGGACAGTTTGAGTTAATTGAGCAGATGCGCAAGTGCTCAATGTGAAATTGAAAATAATCAAATTGGCTTTATGGACGGCCCGCAAGTTGAAGTGGCATTTTAATCAGCCCCCCTTCTGAGTGGGTAATTGTCATGACGACGCGACGCCGTTGAGGATGGCCGCCGCTATGGCAACCGTCGCCATGGCAACGGCGGTGCGAGTTTGCGCGATGGTAACCCGAGGTAGCCGCCTCCCTGTCGCTCTTCCATCACTACCATGGCGGTCACCGTTCCCGTGGACCTCACTCGGCGATTCCTCCACTCGGTCTGCCGCACTGACTGTTTCGTCTCATCCACACTGTATGTATGTATGTCGAACTTCGTTCGCACCGTACCTCGCCAAACGCGACTCATCGGAGGTGCGGTTCAGCACTGGTTCAGTGGTTGGCGCATTGACCTATGAACCACACACCGCAACCACCACCACTGCTGCGGGTCACAACAATTGCGTTTCCGCTTCTTCTTTCACACCGATCCACTTTGGAGATCTCTCCCATCGTCTCTTTTTTTTTGCCAAGCTCTTAGAATCGCCTTTCGCTCAATCGAATAAACATGTTAACGCGTAGACTGTTCACCTTGTGATAGCGCTGTTTGTTGCTGCTCGCCTGGAATTGTGGGCCTTTGGGCCCTGCGCTCGGCGACTGGGATTGTTTAAAAACAATAATTCGTGGAACACACGGCAGGGCTCAGAAGTGACGCACGTCAACAGCTTAGTCTGACAGCCCAGGGCCACTCAGTTGCCGGGCAGCACCGTGGAGGCAAGAGTCGGTGGATCACACAAATGTTGCAAAATCTCCCTTCCCCGAGGGACGTCGTGGTTGCTATACCCTGGCTCGCCAGGAGAACGGACTAATCTCCCATCTGTTCTATACGGATGACATGTCGCGTCGTCTTCTCGCCATGCGTGTGTCTACTTCGAAATGCTCCGGTTTTCGTCCCACACTAACAGAGTCTGCCAAACATCCCAGTGTAAGGCCACAAATGTTGGCGTCGGTTCGGGCTCGCCACACGCTCGCCTCTGAATCGGCGGAAACGCATGCGGCGTGTTACGAATGTGCGACTTTTCAACTTTCGTACTTTTACACGTACGGGTTAAGCACGCGAACTTAAAACATTGCGCACTGGACAGAGTGCAGCAGTAATGGATATATACATATTCGTTAATATAGATTTACTTTCACGAAACCTTAATGCACAATTTTTAAAGCAATGTAATACAGAAGAAGCTGGATACAAGCACACCCTTTGGGAACAAGGCCAGCTGTGCTTATGGCCGTTCTTAACATGAAGAAGTGCCATTGCCCGAAACGTCACTTAGTATATAATTTCCATTTTAAGGCCACAGTGTTGTTCATTTTGTTGTTGTTGTTGCTATTTGTGCTTTGTGCACCACTGACAATGCAGCAGCTTCACCAAATAAGTGGCTTATATCACAAGTAGTGTGCTTGTATCAGAAGCTGCCGTTTGCCTTCCTCCAACCAGTGTAATAAAATATACACGTCTAAAACTTATATCAGAACTGTGACTGTATAAGGTATGTTTAGGTCCTTTTTGCCCTTGAAAGTCAAATAAAGGTTCATTGTAACGGGATCGAACCAGGGACCTTACGGCCTTACTGGTGAGCTATGCATGCCCTCTCACCTCCTACACAGATCCCCAAAAAAACCTGTGGCCGAATGTCTGTACTATGTTAATCAACATCACGGGGTGGTAGAAATATCTGTGCTACCTTCGCACGCCTCTCATTTCGTTAAGCCAAGGGCCGGGAATGTATTTTATATATATTAAAAAAAAATCCGCAATGTGAACTACACAGCAGCAATAATCGCCCCCTACTAGCAGACTAAAGACCCATATCTCTCTTGCGAAATATGACTCTTGTCCTGGTCTCTTGAGTTCTCAACTGGTGTACATGAAATAAACTCGAAAATGTTAAACAAAAGTCTAGGTGATCACACACTTGCGTTCGTGTCCAAATCGTCACGTGTGTCCAAGTCAGGTGGTGAGGTAAACAAAAGAAAGACGTCGACTGGGTCGTGGACGAGGCTACAGGTCACTCGCGCGATGCACCGTTACATCCCCTGTGAGGGTGGGTAAAGAAGCAGCCCTGCAATTGCCCCTTCACACCACTGCTGGCAGAAGGGGGCCCTTCACTAGAGGGAGCTCTGCAGAGTCCCTGCAGTCTTCTTCGTCGTGTCTCCTGTCCAACCTATCTAGTCATTTCCCAATATTCTGCACAGTAGTGAACACCGTTTACATCCACTCTTCCACACAGGCCAGACGTCTTGGAAGAGGTGGAAGTACCCACACCTTACCCCCCATCGCATGCGGTACTGTCGATCAATTAACTTGTGGTGAACCCATTTTTTTTATACTTCCCGAAGGACCCTTCTGTACTCGTTCTCTGCACCATTGATGTTTTTTTGCTGTTGCTGCTGCTGTGCGCACGCACCGCGAACCTCCCGTGTAACATAGCCGGGGGAAACTGGTAACACATCAAATCAGCTCATTACTGCTGGGTGGGCAGAGGCAGTGAGATTTTTTTGAAAGAGCTCGCACGATTGTTTCAACTATTGTGCGGGCGGCGGCGGGCGGTGGATTTGACTGGCGACCTCTGGATTGCAAGCCCAGTGCGTTCGCCGCTACACCACCGTGGGCAGCATTAGCCCACCACGTTCGCTCTTAAATCCTGAGGGGTGGCAACCCACCCTGCGCGAGGTGACCTACGCACTGTGCACAGCAGCTTGCCTGCTGAAATACAACAAGGCCGGGTGTTGTCCGGCGTGGGATAACCATAAACACCACTGTGGCAGGGCCTCCACGGTCCGAGTGCAGAAGTTAAACGAATGGCGTTGTGACATTCCACAGACCAGTCCCAACAGGGACGTTTCACTCCCGCGGAAGATCAGATTGTCACGATCGTAACGCCACCATTACCCCCACGCCCATCTTCGGAAATTCGCTACCTCCTGACAGCGTATTTGTAATAACATTGATTTTAAATTGTATTCGCAACAGAGCCGAATGTGACCCAATGACGTTGGCGATGGATGTACTGACAACCTTGTATTCTGCCGAGGCTATGGCTGACGATGCAATGATTTTAATGCGCGACTCTTTCGGCCAATTCCTTGCACCGCCTCTCCGATTCGGTGATTTCGGAGTAACCCCCGTAAGTGGTGGGTTGGGCTCAGGTATAATTGTCATTTTTTCTCTTTGTGTGCATTCTAATTTAAATATAACTTGAAGCTTTCGTGACTGCAGGAATTACGCTTTGGTTCTTTCGGTAAAGTCACGTAGAAAGAAAATAAATAAAATACTAGAATACGACGTTTCGATTGCAACACAAGCAACCGTCATCAGGTAGAACTAAATTTGAGAGAGAGACAGAACACAGACACGGAGACACACTACCTGATGACGGTTGCTTGTGTTGCAATAGAAACGGCGTATTCTATTACTTTCTTTATTTTCTTTCTACGTGACTTTACCGAAAGAACCAAAGAGTAATTTAAATGTGTTGTGCGCACGCCTTCCGTCAACACCATGAACGACGCAGCAACTGAAGAGTCTTACCTTTCTCTTGGACATGATGGATTTTTTTGATGTGTTTTGGATCTTTCTGTGCACGTGGGAGACCACCTGTGGGGGATACGAGGAGAAGGAGACAGAGAGACGGAGAGAGGAGACGAGAGAGATGCGCTGCATCATAACGATGGTGGTGGGTTCGGGGGGAGGGGGGGGTATGTGGATGCAGGGAGGGCGAGTGCATTGTTCCGCCAAGCAAGTTCATTTTGGTTACGTTTAACCAGGTGGGAACTCAGGGATACCAGGATGAGTCTCATTTGCAGGTGACCTGAGGCATTAGTCTGCCAGTAGCGGTGGGGGCGATTATTGCGGTGCATAGTTTCAATTGAATATAATTTACGGTGCAATTTTGGAAGTTTGCCGAATATGTGACCCTGATGCTGGCACGCAATGGGCCTACCCTTGCGAATGAAGTCACGGGATCTTTAAAGTCCACCGTGAAGCAGATGGCGTATTGTCACGGTGAGTACACCGCACAGCAGTACCCAGGGCGGCCCCTGCCGCGAGACGACGTGACCGCCCTAACCCACGTCGAGGGCTCGCTCTCGCTGCCACAATTAGAATCTCTATTCTATACTGGAGGAATCCGACGAGCGATGCATCTTTTTGTATGTCTTTTGTACGTCACCCCACGCTGTGGTCAACCAACACACTGCAGGTGAAACCCCTTCTCTTTCTGATTCGTTTCCCACACGAGCTTTTGTAACCTTGCTCAATTCAAACATTCTACTAACGCGTATTAATCACGCCTCCAATGGCGCTGCTTGTTACCGGCCGCCTGGACTTTGAGCCTGTGCTCAGCGACCGTGGTTTAAAAAAAGGAGGGTGGGTGCAAGGGGGTGGGTGCAGGAGAGTGGGTACAGGAAGGTAGGTGCAGAGAGTGGGTGCAGAGAGTGGGTGCAGAGAGTGGGTGCAGAGAGTGGGTGCAGGGGGTGGGTGCAGGAGGGTAGGTGCAGAGAGTGTGCGCAGTAGGTGGGTGCAGGGGGTGGGTGCAGGAGGGTAGGTGCAGAGAGTGGGTGCAGAGAGTGGGTGCAGGGGGTGGGTGCAGGAGGTGGGTGCAGGGGGTGGGTGCAGGGGGTGGGTGCAGGAGGGTAGGTGCAGAGAGTGGGTACAGGGGGTGGGTACAGGGGGTGGGTACAGGGGGTGTGGGTACAGGGGGTGGGTGCAGGGAGTGGGTGCAGAAAGTGGGTACAGGGGGTGGGTGCAGGGGGTGGGTGCAGGAGGGTAGGTGCAGAGTGGGTGCAGGGGGTGGGTACAGGGGGTGGGTACAAGGGGTGGGTGCAGGAGGGTAGGTGCAGAGAGTGGGTACAGGGGGTGGGTACAGGGGGTGGGTACAGGGGGTGTGGGTACAGGGGGTGGGTGCAGGGAGTGGGTGCAGAAAGTGGGTACAGGGGGTGGGTGCAGGGGGTGGGTGCAGGAGGGTAGGTGCAGAGTGGGTGCAGGGGGTGGGTACAGGGGGTGGGTACAAGGGGTGGGTGCAGGAGGGTAGGTGCAGAGAGTGGGTACAGGGGGTGGGTGCAGGAAGGTGGGTCCAGAGGGTTGTGCAGTGGGTGGGTGCAGAAGGGTGGGTGCAGGGGGTGTTTGCAGGTGGGTGGGTCCAAAGGGTTGTGCAGTGGGTGGGTGCAGAAGGGTGGGTGCAGGGGGTGTGTGCATTGAGGTTCGTGCAGAAAGGTGCTGAGACGGGTGTCTGGAGACTGCTCGTTCCAGCAGTGTGGGCGGTCGGCTGAACGCGAGCAACAACTATGACAGATGCTCACCAGCACCACCAATTAAACATCACCACCACCACCACGAATAACCACCACGCATTAAACAATTACCACCACCAATAACCACAACCAATTAAACATTACCACCATCACCAATAAAACAATAACCAGCACCACTAATTACACGAAATGACAATCATCACCGTGCTGCTGCTGGTAGTGTCTCTTATTAGCATGTGGAAAAAAAACAAAGCATTTAAAAGTGGGAACGTGAGATGAACGCCATCATCAGAAGCAGCAACCGTTACACCACCAGCACCATCATCATTATCATCACACAGCCAGACTAATTTCTCTGTCTCTACTCCCCGCGTGACATCACCGTGCCGTGTCAGGCAACGCGGCTTCAACGCAGGCAAGTTCGTTCTGTGGTCCGTATTTTTTTTCCCCGCTCCAGACATTTAAACGACAATGAGTCGCCTATGACCAAATTGCGAAGCGATCTCGATCGTCGGATCTCCGAAGCTAAGCGGGGTATAGAGAGCCTGGGTCGTGACGCGAATGGGCGACCGCCACGCGCACAACAGCTGGGGCTACGGGATGGGCAGCAGAAAGACGGCAGTGCAGCGACGTCCAGCGCACGATGGTGAAGTACGGACATATGGTCCCGCACTGGCGCTAGGAGGCCCTCTCTCACCCAGACAGAGGGCTGTACAGGCGCAGCAGCAGAAGTAATAGCAGTAGTGGAATTATTAGTCTCCCCGGTGCAGTTGCACTGCCTGCGCACACGAGAGAGCCAAAAGGCTGCACGAGGAGACTCTCAAGACGCGTCCCCCGTGGCGCTCTGCGCGCGCACGCTTCGTGGTTTATCGCTGACGCCGGCAGTTGTGCACGGGGCGTGTGGAGATGGTGGCGGTGGTGGTGGTGCAGGCAGTGAGGTCCTGCAACACGCATTATAGCGTTCGCACAGGTTTTGGGTGGGGGTGGGGAAGCCATATGCTGCACCTCCTTAGATTAATATCGTTACGCTCCACCCTCCTCTCTCTTTCTGCTGCTACACTTGCCTCCCCCCACCCACCAAAGCGTATTCTGTCCTTAATTATAATTACCCTTCCAGCGCACGTGTTGGATATTGATGCGATATATTCGATGATGTAAAGATGCGTCGAATTATCAATAAAAACGTCGATTAATCGGTTCGTATGACAAAATGTTGCATTGGGAGGGGTGGCGCAGTGGTTAGCGCACTGCGCTCCGACAATCGCAACCTAAGTTAGATTCTCGGCTACGGGTCTACGGGCCGATGGCGAGTGATTTGTGAAAGTGATCGAGCGCATAACCGGGTGATTTGGTGACTGAAGCTGTTCTCGTAAACAATTCGCGTTTATCATAATCCAATCAGCTGGCCTCAAATTCCACCCGGGGAACCTGGGATTAAATAAATAAATAAAATATTGATTTGTTGATGGATTAACGTCCCTTTATTTAACCGCGCGAAAGCCCATTGAGAGACCGTATCGATGCTGCAAAATGAGCTGTGCTTTTACAGCGGACGCTTGTAATGCAGCGCTTCGGAGGCGGAGTTGGTGGATCACGTTAAGATAACCACGTATCTAATCATTCCCAACGAGGTTGACAATTTAAAGCGTATTCGGAGCACGGGACTGCTCCGATTACTCTGGACACCCAGCTATTTTGCAGGAGGGTCCTAGCGAGCATCTAGGACCCTCCTGCAAAATAGTCTTGAGACTTAGAGGATTGTACCGGACAAGTCTGGGGCTATTTGAGTCGCTCGGTGTTCCATGACATACGCGTCAAAAATCGCGCATCGCGCATCGCTGGCACGCAAACGGAACAAGAGGGCGAAAAGTGCGCTAAGAAGCACGGCGCGATAGATGCAGCGCAGCGGAATGACGCGACAGGAAGAGGAGCACGTGGGAAGGGGGGATTAAGGATAAAGCGGAGACATCGCATTGACCATTAACCAACAACAGTTGTGCCGTCGGCTTGGGCAGGACACGGAGCTGGAAGGAGCGGGGGGTGGGGGGGATGGCCCATGGAGGAGACGAATGACGGAATGGCAGCAAAAGGAGAGAAACGCGCCTTGCCACAACGCCTACCGTGGAGAGATGGACCGATGAAATCGGCTCATGGGTGACACTGGTCGTGGCAACTAGATACCGCGTGGGATTGGCGACGGCGTGGGAATCCTTTATCCAGCTGTGGATCGAACACGACTGACGGTGATGCTGGTGATTCTGAAACAGTTGCTGCTAACGATGCTGCTACTGACGACGATGATCATCATCACACTGCTGCTGATTGTGATGTTGATCATGCCGGTGCCGATGATGCCTAAACGACGCTCCACCATTCACGCCAAATACAAAGATCCCCCGTATAGCCTTGATAGACTGTTGGGGAAAGTGCTGTTAGCGTGCACCTAATGAAGGCGGGGACGGCACATGAGGGGGTGGGTGAATAGCACCACTCCCGGCCGCCTTTGTATCCCCAGTCGCGATTATTTTACACACCGCACCAGATACTCATTTGAGGCTGAATCGACCTATTGCGAGTCCCGTGAGCGGTCCAGATATTCGTTACTAGTGTTGGCGCTGAGCGGGAATCGAACTCTGGTCGCCAGGCTCGTGGCGCAACGCAAGTGCTAACCGCTACACCACCGCTCCCCAACCAGTCACGCATACGCACGCACGCACACACACAGCACCGAACCCACCCGTGCGTAGCACGCGCTGATGAGCACGAGCGGCAGCAGGTATCCGAGCGAGAAGATGACGGCCCTGTAGGTGCTCTTGAGATTCTTGTGGCTCCACACCTCCCAGCAGAAGTTGCCGTGCTCCTTGTAAACCACGATGGTGTGGTAGTGAGCCCTGGGCACCGCCAGCACCAAGGACAGCAGCCAGAGCGCGCTCACGGCGCCCAGCGCGCGGCGCACGGAGCGCACCGCGGCGGCGCGCCGCGCGTGCACGATGGCGATGTAGCGGTCCACGGACATCGCCACGAGCGTGAAGATGCTCACGAGCATCGAGGCGGTGAAGACGTAGGGGACGCCCTTGCAGAGGAAGGCTCCGAACACCCAGTCGGGCAGGAAGTAGTAGGTGGCCTCGGAGGGCACGCAGAAGAACAGGAAGGTGAGGTCGGCCACGCTCAGGGTGAGCACGAACACGTTGGTGATGCTGTGCGACTTGCCGAACTTGATGCGCACGAGCACGAGGATGACGAGCGAGTTGCCCACGATGCCGAGCAGGAAGATGACGAAGAAGATGACGGGGACGACGATGGCGCTCACGATATGCTCCTGCATGCCCGGGTAGCTTCCGTTGATGGCCAAGTCGAGACGGCTCAGGTTCCATGATCCTCCGAGAGCCCCCGGACTCGTTGGCACTCTCTCCTCCATGGGCAAGGGCTCGCGCACAACGCTGTCCCTCTCTGTGTGTCTCTCTGCGTTTGTCTCTCTGCCTTGCTCTGTCTCCGTCTGCTCATTCGCAGTGCTGGCCGGCAGGTGGGCAAACTCTCTCCTGTCTCTTGCGAACGCTTTCTTCTCCTGCTCCTCGTTCCACTCACGCGCGCGCGTGCGCTCGCTCCCTCTAAATCTCTCGCTCGCTGCGGGAGGCGAGATGCGCCGCTCCGTGTTGGAGAGAGTGCACACGTGCGAGGCGTGAAGAGCGAGAGACAGGAGGTCGCGAGTGTGTGATGGACTGGCTATACTGCTGGTGCTAAGACGCGGCGAGTCGGGAAAGGGAGAGTTTCAACGCAACGCGAGTACGGTTGTTAGAAAGAAACGCGAAAGTAAGAAAGTAGAGAGAGAGAGAGACAGGCAGAGCGATGGATAGACGGAGGAGATTAAGCAGGAACGAGAGAAGGAGAGGTGTTGTAGTGGGACAGACGACGAGTCAGGAGGAGATATGGCGATGGAGAAGTGGCGGAGAGACTGGAGAAACCGCGAGACGACAGGAGGGGGAGATGAGACGCGGGTGATGGGGCTGAGTGCCGGAGAGACGTGAGCGTCCATCTGCCCTGCCCGCTCGCGCCCGAGTGCGTTCGCAGCCAGGCGCGCGCCGCGGGGAGCGTGTATGTGTCCGTTCCGCGCGCTCCCTCGCTCCCTCGCACGCACGCACGGGTGCCACGTACACACACACACGGACGTGCACAGACGGACACACGCACAGAGGCACGCACAGGCGGAGACACGGAGGGGCACGCACACACAGATGCAAAGGCAAAGATCCCCCGTATCGCCTTAACAGACCGTTGGAGCAAGTGTTGTTAGCGAGCACCTGTGAAGGCTGGTACGGCACACGAGGGGGTGGGTGGTCGACACCACGCCCGACCGCCTTTGTCTCCCGAGTGGCAATGTTTACACCTTGCACCAGGTACTCATTTGAGGCTGAGTCGACCTAAAGGATGCCCAGGATCGGTACAGATAATCGTCACTGGTGTTGGCCGCGAGCGGGAATCGAACTCGGGTCGCCGGGCTCATAGCGCAGCGCGCTAACCGCAACACCACCGCTCCCCACTACACACACGCGCACAGAGGTACGCACAGACACACACACACAGGCACACACGCAGGGAGACACACCCAGACACACAGAGACACTCATAGGCACACACTGACACATACACGCAGACACACAGGCAGACGCACACAGGCACAAATACACACAGACATACACAGACACACTCAAGCACATCCTGCACACACACACAGATGACAGGCGCACATACGGGCACATACGAAGACAACGATACCCCGTGTCACCTTAACAGACTGTTGGGGCAAGTGCTGTTCGCGAGCACCCATGTAGGTCCGGAACGATTCTCTTTCGAAAGATCGTGGTGAATGTCGCGGGCTCTAGGAGCTGTAAGAGGTGGGGTAAAGTGTGGGTAACTCCCACCATTTCCTAGACGTCTGGCCAGCGTGCAAGAGTATTCCAAAACACCACTCTCGAGCTCCCTCTAGCGAAGACCCCTTCCGCCAGCAGTGGTACGAGAGAGCGATAGCGGGGCTGCTCCTTTATCTCTTTACCTATTTTGTTTGTTTGTCTGCCACAAACTCGGGGACACTCTACTCTCAAAGCAGGCGATTATTGCCATTACCTTCGGCGCCGGAGGGAAAACTAATACTGAGCGGAGTTTAATTCAATAAGGCGTACAGGACTCGACGGCACGCGAGGGGTCTCTGCTAATAATTGCCCGTGATTGAAAAAACTGACAGCCAGCTAGCTATCAACAACAAGAAAAATCGCAAAGGGATTTGGCTCACGCGAACTAAAATCCGGCACTCTGCCACAACAACAACAACAAAGAACTCAAGGAAGAAAAATAAAGTGCACGCATGGATTATGCTACGAACAGAATGAATGCGTTTGTTCCGGGAAGCGCACGCACGCATTCATTAATGAATATATCAAGATGGGATATTTTATTTGCCAGTATCAAAGTATGAAAAAAGATAAGAATAGCTTCTACTCTTTCTGGCAATGAAAGACGTGTTAAGATGTTCAAACACCAAACAGAAACAGAATCATTTCCGCATACGTACTTGTGGTGAACATGCAAACAAAAGCATGCTCTGATAATGAATATGATGCATTGTCTTTGAAACTGATTGGTCCACACCAGAGAAAACCTCCTTTAGAGCCGAGTCTCTCACCAGTGAATTATTCCCACGATTCCTTGCAAAAGGTTTCCATTTGGTGTTTGAACATCTTAACACCTCTTTTATTGGCAGAAAGGGTTTCTTATTTTTTTCATAATGTATCAAGCAAATTCATGAATGAGTTCTCGATTATAACGGTGTGGCGTTCCCTGCTCCCGGGTGAGCGGGACTCCTATCGCGTCTCGAGCTCGCGATTGATTGATGTGCCCGGGTTTATCCAAGCCGGCGACTTCCTTTTGAGCATGCAACGCAACTTTAGTGGAAAGTTTGGTCCACGCTGGACGATGTCTCCCGAGAGCTATCGCGCCCCCCCGCCCCGCCCTTCCCCGTGACGGACAGACGGGCAGACAGATACATTGACAGCGCTAAAGCCATAGTGTCCGGATTATAAGAGCAAAAGTTTGGGGGTGCGTCTAATAATCCGGTCGGTATGTGTTCGACCACTTTGTATACGTTTAAAGCCACCGGACACGCATTTTTGGGGGTGCATCTTACTTTCTGGAGCGTCTCGTAATTCAGAGAATACGGTAACGATCTTAGCAGGCAGGCGCAACGGTTTTTTGTTGTTGTTGTTGTTGATGTTGTGTAGACGAAGCGGCTGATTGTCTTCGTGCCCTGCTTATAACACAATCACACTCATCATCAGCCGGGGTAATGAATCAAAGCTGCGAGTGACAAGCACAAGAGCGGCGTGCTCCTCTCAGCGTGTTCCCTCTCCGTCACCGCCACACACCTTCCGTGCCGCAATCACTCTCCGTCCTCCCTCCTCCGTCCTCATCCCTCCTCCTTCTCCTCCAGCCTGGATCCCGAGAACAGGACAGGGAGCAGCAAACTCAACTTTGCATCTGCTCCCATTTGCCTTAGTCCACAACTCGCGTGTTCGTGGCGTGGGGGTGCAGGCGATGGCACTGCACAAGTTCTCACGACAAAGAGAAAGACTCCCCCCCCCCCCCCCCGTATAACCTTGGACTATTGGGACAGTTGCCTTCATAGCACCAATGAAGGCCGGCACGGCACACGAGGGGGTGGGTGGCCAAGACCACGGCCGGCCGCTTTTGTCTCCTTTAGAAGCGATGTTTACACACCGCACCATGTACTAATTTGAGGCTGAGTCGACCTAGGCGAGGCTCTGGACCGGTTCAGATAATCGTCACTGATGTTGGCCGTCAGCGGGAATTAAGCTCAGTTCGCCGGGTTAGCAGTGAAGTGCGCTAACCACTGCGCCACCACTCCCCGTACCAGGGACGTGCGGTCCGGGGAGGCTGGGGAGGCAGAGCCTCGCCTGTCATACTCCAATGAAAAATGCTGTTACCAAAAGTAAAAAAAAAGAATAATCAAATAAAATAAACATTAAAATTTTCAACTGATCTGTACTATAAATGTAATTTCTGTACGATTCCAATCATTTTTATAGTCAACATCGCCAAATTTGCAGAGCTCCGCTGCAAATACAGGAAGAGACGAGAGGTGAGGCAGGGACGAGCTCAGCCTCCCCTCTGATTGCGCAACCCCTCAGTAACTGGATGGAGCGCGGGCAGTAAGCGCGTGCCTGTTACTATCTCAGTATGTCACCAATGTAATGTTTGTAGACCCCTTCATTTCATGTCCCCGCCTTCCATACTCCAGGTAACTTATTTCACGTATGTGTATAAAGATATTTAGGCTCGCTGGTCTCGTCATGAAACTGCAATGAAAAAGAACAAGGGGAGGCAGCTTTCACATCTGCCTCACTGAGGCCACGCCCCCTCCACGAGGCCACGCCCCCCTCAGTGTGTGAATCTGGCTCTGACACTAGCCAGTGCCTGCCCAGCCATTGACCTCACCGCACGTCACTGCCCCGTACATGTGTACACACACACAGACAAAGTGTTCCCGTGTTTAAACGAGCGTTGGGTGATATCCCCATCATCTCTGTCCCGAGCCAGTGGTGGAAATTCCACGTTCTTACGGCGGATACCGTCGACGCGAAGCGGGGTTGAACCTGGGTCGCCGGGCTGTGTGTGAGGAGCGACGTGTGTTGGGCAGCAGAGGGCAGCACAACGACACATACATTGTTGTACTCTACTTTATAAGGCAAATGAAGCGAAACACAAATAGATATGCGATGTGTGTGTGCATTTATCGGTGACCGGGCTGAGACCACGAGCTTGCAGCTGTTTAATCACGGGAGGCCGCAGCTCGGAATTTGAATCCAGAATCTCGGCGGTGCCGGTTCAGTGGCTCTGGCGAGCGGCCTCTTAACGGACCTCTCGCAAAGCCCTCGTATTTTAATTTCACCTCACCCAGTGGCTGCTTCCAGGTGGCACCTCATTTCAGGCTGAGTTGGCCCTGACGTGGCCCGAAGCCGGCTGTTCGTTTTCAGACGGTGTCTGCGTGGAGTGGCAGCGTACTGGTGTTTGGACGAGTTTCAAGACTCGTTTGCAAGAAGGTCCCGATTTGTATATTTGCAATCGTGCTCATCGGAGGTGGGGATGGGAAATACAACAATATCGTCCCGAAAAAAAGGAATGTAGTGACTCGGTGAGGCTTTCCGGGATACATTTTGTAATTTTAACAATGAGTTATCTTGCAAGTGTTTTGCGAGCCAGAGGAACGTGAGAATCGCCGGAGACAAGGCAATCCTGCGATGGAATAACACTCAAAACAGCCACCAAACATCCGGCAAAACTGCAAAAATGGCACTGCCCTGCACAGTAAAACGTTTATAACAGGCGACGTTCCGGGCAGTGGCCGGAGAGAGATTGAGTGGATTGTAGTTAGAGAGGGCAGTTGTTTGTGGCCGTGATGCGCCGTGGTGCGCACTCCATTCCCGGGGATCATTGCCGTTGGGCCGTTGGAGCGAAACGTCGTCGTACGTTGATGTTGGGGATTTTCCAGTCGTGTAAATTCCCTGAAAGCCACCGATACCGAGGACCTTTATTGGTCACGATCAATAACATCGGCACGTTTGAATGTCACCTCTGCAAAACGTGACAATTTTGTCGGGTGGTGGAGGGTTTAATGACACGAATTTGGGTATAAAAACCACCACCTCGTGGCCTAACGCCACAAACAAATATTGACCACTGCCATCGCAGTATCACAAACTGTTGCTGCTGTTGTTGTTGTTGTTGAAGGCTGAGCAGAGGTGGATGCGCACCGCGTGTGCTCCTGCGGCAGCCGCTCGGATTGTGTGAATGTCATTCGGACCTCGCTGACTTGAGAAGCGCTCCCACGGGAAGGGGGGGGGGGTTAGGCGGGGGTGGCCGCTCACCTCGCTCCTATCTCGCGCCTGCAGAGCTGCGACCGGGTTACAGCTGTGACCCCCCCCCCCCGGCCTCGCCGCCGCCACTACGGTGGCGCCTGTCCATGGGTCACGCGTTTATTTTCCCCTTAGTGATGAGATCCACGCACGAGATGAGGTTGGGTACACGCGCCCGAGATACGGGTCATGGATCATCACCGGCAGCGGCCTTGTCAACTGGCGGATGAAGACC